CATGGGCAGAAATGAAAACACAACACAACACAACACACACACACACACACACACACACACACAATTGCAGTCAAGATTCAGCGAAGGGGATAAGGAGCTACAGCCCAAGGACCTAATATTAACAACGAGGAGCAGAAACAGTTGATGCTGTATTACCACAGAAGACAGGCCAAACTCAAGAAATTAGAAGAAAATGATGGCTCCTGTTTAAATTCTCCATGGACATATAACACTGCTTTGAAAAAAGCATTTTCAGGTAGTTAAAGACAAAGTGGAGACCAAGATGAAGTTCCCAAAAATATTAGCTCACCTCTTTAGGCCAACTAATAATAACTAAAAAGGATAATCACACAGCCCTGGCTGGTTTGGCTCAGTGGATAGAGTGTTGGCCTGTGAACTGAAGGGTCCCAGGTTCGGTTCCAACCAGGGACACGTGACCAGGTTGTGGGCTCGATCCCCAGTAGGGGGCATGCAGGAGGCAGCCGATCAATGATTCTCTCTCATCATTGATGTTTCTATCTCTCTCCTTCTCTTCCTTCATCTCTGAAATCAATAAAAATATATTTTTAAAAAATAAATAAAATAAAATAAGAAATCACAACCCTCTGTGAATGATGTTGAAATTTCTAGTTTTCCGAGGTTTTCTTTTAGTAAGTTGGAAACATTCTCTGTCCAATCCCCAGTGCTGGAGAGAAAGTAGTACATAATAAAGCAGTTTGATATCCTACAACATTATAAAGCACAATATTAATTACAATTTTTCTTACTATCATGTTTGATTTCAAAGTGGTTCCTCATTTTCCATTATATATTTTAATTGATTTCAGAGAGGGAGAGAGAGAAACATCAATGCTGAGAATCATTGACTGTCTGCCTCCTGCAAGGCCCCCCACCCACTGGGAACTGAGCCTGCAACCCAGGCAGATGCCCTGATAAGGAATCAACCCAGGACCCTTCAGTACACGGGCCGATGCTCTACCCACTGAGATAACCGGCTAGGGCTGGTTCCTCATTTTGAGCGATTTATTTTTTCAGAGAAAACTGGTATGGAGTGGGGAGAAGAAGCATTAAAAGCATTTCTTGGTGTTGAGCACCGAGAGTAAATTTGCCTGTTGCTGATAGGAACACAATTCTCCCTCATTTCTGCCCCTTAACTTCTTCCATGGAACTTGAAAGAGCTTCTGATGACTGACTTTCCCCATGTTTAAGAGCTCTTCAATTATTAACCAATGTTACCTGAACAAATTCAATGAGTAAAAAATTTTTTAAATAAAGTAATTACTTTCAGTTCTCTTTTTAACTTTTCTCACCCAGATTATAGAATAGGTTCTATTGTTGCCAGCAACCAAACTACAAAGAAGTAAATTGGGCTGAGATATAGGAGGAAAACATGCAAAAAAAAATATATTGTCTTCTATAGATCAGATCTGTTACTAAGAAAGCCACCAGTCAGACCATCAGTATGATGCAATATACAAAAATAGGAAAGCCATATAGAAGTAGTGGTAGAATATATAACTTCTTGCACAACTCTTTTAAAAATGTATTTTTATTGATTTCAGAGAGGAAGGGAGAGATAGAAACATCAATGATGAGAGAGTCATTGGCTGCCTCCTGCACACCCCTACTGGGGATCAAGGCTGCAACCTGGGCATGTGCGCTTGACCGGAATCAAACCCTTCATTCCGCAGGCCGACACTCTATCCACTGAGCCAAACCAAGCAGGGCTTGCACAACACTAATAAATGAGTCTGGAGTCAAACATTGTTGGGATAGAGACCACTCAATGCTAATCTGTGGTCTTGTGATCATATCTATTCCTAAAAACTGAATTTTCCCTTGAAAGAACAAATAAAAGCTCTTGATTCCTTTTGGTACAATTACATAAAGAATTCCAGAAACATGATTTTAAAAGACAGGAAGACAAGTGAGCAGGATCACTGCTATTTTTAAATGAACCATGCGTGTTTGTGTAGGGAACTTGGGGACTGCAGGACAGAGAAAGGGGAAAATCAGAGGAAAGGATAAAAAGTGTAAAAATAATTAAAGTGCACTTACTGACACTGTTATATTGTTAAATGAGAGAGAAAAATAACAGGCAGAGTTTATGGTCAGATTATAAGTTTATATCCAGCCGACTGGAGAAGAAACCAAATTACTTTCTAATACCGTTATCTCTCAAAATGCAAATGTTTCAGACAGCTGGGGGGGGCGGGGGAAGGGGCGGGGGGAGAATGCCTTTCATAACAGCAGATAGGGGCAGAATTTATCTTTTTAGAACAACCAGAGTTCCAAAGTTGCACTGAAACAGGGATGGGTTAGAATCAGCTAATATGTTTAACATCTGATAACGTTCCTTCCTTAGACTAAGTTTTGCTTTGCTTTACTTGAAGGGACAAATGGCTGAACAAACTGGAAGGAAACTTGTGACCCAGGCAGGATCACAAATATCACAGTAAGGATGGGAAGGGAGGAAAGCCAACTAAGGAAAAATGTGTTGGATGTTTAAAGCTAGAAATACTAAACCTGCAGACTACCACAAGAGAAACATATTGCGGGACCCTCAAGGCAGTGAAAATTAGGGGAAAGTAAGTAATACCTTTGGATTACCTGAAGGAATAAGACACATGCCTTTTGAAACAAACAATGGTATTTGATAGGGTACACATAAGAAGCAGGGACTAAGAAAACCTCATTCAGATACTAGAATGCCGAGAATTAAAGTTTGTAGAGTTCAATGTGGACAAAAAGGGTGAGGTCCTGGATACAAGCCATTTTCATCATGTCCAGAATTAACAGAGGAAATTAGTCTCTATTTTATACACAAGAGAAAAGCAAAAGATGTCAGTTAATCTCATTACATGATAAGAAAACACAGATATTCAGCTTCTGATAAAGTTCATACTGATACTTTCTGAATTGCATGCCAGAGCAATGGATGGCATCATTTCCTAAACCTATTAGACGAAAGCTCAACATGGAGCATAATTTGATTTAGATAAATCCAGGCTCTTAGGAATCAGAGCACTGATTTTTATCACTTGGTTAAGGGTGCCATACTATTGACGTTGAAGTTACAAGTACAATACACTTATGGGCAAGTTTAGTAGCTGTGAACAATAAGACAGTATTCTAATATGCAGACAGCCACATTAAAATAACCTATGCTGGGACTTAATTGTGGGGCCAACTAGGCAAGACATATACTTAGAATGTATGTACAACTATGGTTAAATAGTATATACAATAGAAATATATACTTCCCCCAATTATTTAAACCATTCAATCTTTTAACTTCTTATAAATGCCTAACACTTGTTCCAGGGGGAATAAAAACCAGTACTGTGTTAAGTACTTGATATTTATTGAAATAGCAGACAAGACTATTGCCACACTTTATAGGATGTGTTAACAGGATAGCTTAATAGGTAAAAGTCAGCTAAATTTCCCATCAAGGTCCAAGAGACTCTGAAGGCAGGGAAATCTTGATCCAATATCACTTTTATCCCTGAACCTCTCAGAAAAAAACCAACCCAAAGCCATTTTATTTTTAACTTGTACAAAAATAAGGTTAACTCCCATTGATAAAATACCGTATGGGCGATCAAATCATGTTTATTTTCATACAGTCATCCTAACCTTCATTTGATTCATTAAATTATAATCACAAAAATAATTTCACGCTGACATTAAAATCTGCTCTCTGGGCTCCAGTGATTGAATTCTATCACTTCTAAGGTGTCTTCCAGGACTGTGAGGTGCCACTATTATATTAGCTTATGTCACAATTCTTGCCATTAATTCTTACAAAAGATAAAAACTCACAATTGTACTAAAACTAGACAAAAAGATTCCCATGCATCAAAAAAGTTGTGAAATAGAAAGTAGCTATATATTAAAGGTCACATACAGCTACTTTGTCATATTCAAAAGAAATGCTGTGCCTGCTATCGGTGGAAGTTGTCATGCAATGTCAAAACATTGTCCCAGACAAAAGATTTCAATATGTATTAAAAAGACTAAACTTAAATAGTTTGAGGCTATTTTCCATACATGCTATTGTGAAATAAATGATAATGGGTAGGAATCTATGGAGTAATAACATTAGAAAGTAGGATACTTGATGTGAATTAAGTCAATATCTCATTTACAAGAGTATGCATTCAATTAAGTATGTATTGGGGTTATGTCTTAAGCAAATTGCTTATGGTTCTAATATAGTAAAATTCTATATTTAACAAATGAAATTATTTCATCCACATGCAGATTTCATAAAGATGTTGGAAGGTTATTTAAGATGCAAAGATTTTGCTAATATGTTGCAAAAATTAACCTACAGCTATACATTCTGTTAGGCTCCACTTTCAATAATAATAATAATAATAATAATAACATATTTCAGCGATTTCCAACCTTTTTTATCTTATGACACAAATAAACTAATTACTAAAATTCTGCAGCACATCAAAAAATATATTATCTTTCGCCAATCTGACAAAAACAAAAACAAAACACACCACAAAAAGGTATAATTTAATTCTTGTAGCACAATTGTGGAAAATCGCTGATATATTTCAAACAGGTCTACGTCATGATATATTTGGTACTTTGTGGATGAATTGGAAAGAGGATGTAGATGAAGCTAACAAGAAAAAATGTTTTCAATGATAGCCTACGAGGCATTAGAAATAGGATTTGAAGGGCAGCATATTTTGTAGGATTCTACACTAGACAGGAGTTATTCTCCCATCATAGTTAAGTTTGTAATATATTATGAACAGGTTGGGCTAACTTGGGAGGCATGCATCAACGAATTCAATTATCACACCATGAACAAAGGCAGAAGTTTGAAAACCCAAAGGCAGAAGATTGATTGCTAAAAAAAAAAAAAAAAGTAAAACAAAAGTGATCCATTACAGTAAAATATAATTGAGGTATAGAAATATTAGATAACCAGTTTTCTGAGGAAAATGTCATTTCAAATAAATTTATTTCCTTGCTTCATGAAAAAGAGCATTCTAACAGCAGTGTAGCCAGTATACAATCACAATGCTGCAGAACATTTAAGCATGAGCTTTTAAAAAATTACAGGGCATACAATGGGATGGCAAACTTATGAAAGAGTTCAATAATGCAGGAAACATGTGTGGTTCCCATCATGGGGTTCAGCAGGTGTTCATTATAACTGAATGGAGACATTTGTAGCTAAGACTGGATATTTTCATGTATTTGTTTTGGTAAACTGCAACTAATTTCAAAAATCTCAACACTCCCTTAAATCAACATGCGTGCCTCAAGTTTCTATTGTTACGGAAACTTACTTTCACTTAGTGACACTGATCTGAATTGCTGTACAGATATCACAACGGTCTGTTTTGAAGGAAATGTGCTTACGTTTTTTGGGGTTTTTTTTTGAAAAATGTGTGTTAGAGTATCTTCTAGGATTTTAATTCTTCAAGTTTACTGTCATGGGTGTCGACTCAAAGAAAACAAAAGCTATTACTTAAATTTTGCAGACATTCAGTAAGTGTTGAATGGATAGATGGGTGGATAGATAAAGGATCTTTAAGTTTGATCCATTAAATCTGGTGAGAAAATAACTTGAAGTGAGAGCTAAGGCCTAAAATAAAATATTACAAGGGTATATTCCTGATGGTCTACTACTAGTAAATATCTTATTTAAGCAGCTGAAACAATAAACAATCACTTATTTATATACTTAAATGTATAAGAAACCAGAGGCTCACAAAAATATACATGTTTTACAACAGAAATCTAAGGCACACAACATACTAAAACAAGTTAATGAATTACTACCCTATTTTACCTATTCAAAAGCAGAAATCTACTTGTACAAGACAGTCTATCAATGACATTTTGCTATTTACAATCCCTTCATATTCCTTTACTTTGATTAGTCAAAAGCTTGAAACGGATACTTTGCACCATATATTATTTTAATAATTTATGATTAATTTTATTTAGAGAGCTTACTGGAATTGTTTGCTTTTGCACCAGAATTGTGAGTGTTAGCGGTTATGGGCTTCCTGTGGCATTTCCAGGGGAGAAGCACCGTTAGGTTTTCCATACTCCCAAGGAATCTGAGACTTTAAATGTTATAGCACCTCTGCATTTTAACAGAATCAAGTATTTCATTGAAATTTCTTCTTGATCTAAAATTTGGTTTGGACAATCTCTTTTGTTTTGCTATGAACCGGAAAACGTAATAGAAGAAATAATAGGAGGATTAAAAACTAAACAGAATGCCTATTTTCCTGTTACCTAGATTATAGGCAATTACGTCAGAAGAGTTATCATTTTCCCCAAAACTAATATGTTTTTAAACTACTTTGGACTAACTTATTTATATCATTCCTACTATTTGTTTGGCATGTGCAATGATAAGGAATTTGTTTTCAAAATATTTCTACTAAAATTTTAGTCTCTACTGGAATGACTTTCAGAATAAGGCAATTTGGGATGGTTAGGGTTCTCACTACTTAATTTTTGTATTTTATTACCTTGAAACTTTAGAAGCATTTGACTCTTCTGAATCCTGTTATGTCAAATCTCCTTTCGGAAACACCTTTGATGGATTATATTGAGAAAGTTACAGTGACAGTAAATTGGGGTCAATGTTGCTCAATAAGCGTTCACACTTACTTAGTTCCCAAGAAAATATTAATCAATGTTGGTGATAATCTTTCAAATTCCAATTTGAGATCATTAACAATTTTTGCATGATTGATTTTATATAAGTAGCTAATATTTGAATGAGAAATTACACATTAAAAAACACAAACCATACACATGTATGAATACATATTGCAGTTAATAAGATGGAACTCTACACAGCAAGAATGATTTCTCTTGTATGCAAATATGCACAAACAATAGACAATTGGATTCTTATACTATACTATTTCAAGTTAATTTTAAAAATAGAAAGTGCTTTTAAAATATATATTTACAATTTATGAACAGCGTCCAACCATTACTAATAATAATGAATTATTTTATACAGGAGAGACACCTTAAGAGAGAAAACTTTTCATTGGTTTATTTCAAAGGAATATGCCTATTTTCTAGCAATGATTGGAAGATGTTGAAACAATGGCACCATGAAATAATAATTCAGCTTATAATTAACTGTGTGGATGTGGTTAAGCACCAGGAGCTGTGTAGAGTTAACACTGTGTATCTTGATTTTACATCATAGCACATTATCAGTTAAAAGCCTCTAAAAATTACTCGTTTCATAGTAAACAGACTTATTTAAAGCACCAAACTGAGTGATTCTCTCAAGGTTAACACCTAACCAAAACATTTCTTTATGTATTTAAAACTATAAAACTTTTTATTTTTGCTTAAAATGTGCACCTTCTATCAATTGTCAAAATATATAGTCACAGTTAAGAAATACCCACCCTACTGCATTTGCTTGTTTTACTTCAGCCTTCAAATGGGTGAGATGAAGATCTATCTAGTAAACAACAATATGACTTTCCTTTAACAGCACCTTGGAAAAATACACTGCACTAGCAAAGGCATTAAAAAGGGGAGAACAGCTTTCATACCCAATGGTTATAGGGCCCTGCAACGTGTGTGAGAGCATAAGGGGCCACAGTGACAACATTGTCATGGGTTAATGTTAATGCCTGGCGAGAAGGAATTTGGTTCAATTCATTAGCTTCAGGGGACAGCTCAGGACCCTCATTAGCTGCCTGATCGCTCTGCTCTGAGACCTTAATTTTCTTATTCTTAGGTTCTTTAGCCTCGTACTTAATCTTGTTTATTTCAAAGCCATGGTGGGGCCTATTTAGGTTTTTGTGCTGGTAGAAGACAAGAGAGAGACGTGTAGGATGATTCCTGTTTGGGTGTTGGACGGGAGTGGTAGCATGAAGCTCTCGCCGGGCACACTCAATTAAAACAGAGCCATGAGCAGGTGCTATGGCCACCCCACCAACACTGGCATCCAAAAAGATGTGCTCACTATCTGACCAATACTCCTCAATGTGGGGCAATTTCGCCTCAGTGGGTGACAGGGGGTCATCTGACAGGGGGTCATCTGATGGAGGCTCATCTGCTTCCGAATGCTGCTCATCTTCCATCAGAGAGGAAGCAAGTTCAGGAGCAGAGGTGATGAGTGGGGGCTGCTGGTTTGGCTCATTAGAAGGGATCTGCTCAGATGGACCCGCGGGAGGCTCAGAACCAACCAGGGAATCGGACATGGGAGTAGGCAAAGCGGGAAGAGGACTCACTTCACCAGGCTGTGCGATTCCATCGCATTCCCCAGCAGCATCATGAGCATCACTCTGTCTCCCAGAAGGCATCGTGCAGTCTGCATCGCTACTTCTTTCTGGAAACCCGCACGAAACCGAGGCATCGTTCTTAAAAGATGTTGAGGTCGAAGCAGTGTTGGCGGCCGGGAAGTCTCGGGATAAATGTGCCTCTTTCACTGGGTGAGGAATGGATGGGATCAGTGAGTACATCTGAATGTGGTCCGAACCTTTGAAGATAAAATTGGGTTCAGTTTCACCTTTTGTTTTTTCTAAAATTGATTTCAGAGAGGAAGGGAGAGGGAGAGAGAGATAGAAACATCAATGAGGGAGAAATATTGAGCGGCTGCCTCCTGCAGGCTCCCTACGGGGGATTGAGCCCGAAACCCAGGCATGTGCCCTTGACCCGAATCAAACCGGGACCCTTCAGTCCGCAGGCCGACACTCTATCCACTGAGCCAAACCAGCTAGGGCTCAGTTTCACTTTTTATTTCAGGTTGCAAGGTCTCAGTTTTATTCCCTAAACGGATAAAAGGACACCAAATGTGAAGATAAGTACAAAATGCTTTTTATAGTTGTTGTTATTAAAGAGTACTTTAAAAAAATATATATACACAAAATTACATATATATATATATATATATATAGAGAGAGAGAGAGAGAGAGAGAGAGAGAGAGAGAGAGAGAGAGATTGATTATTTCAGAGAGGGAGGGAGAGAGATAGAAACATCAATGATGAGAGAAAATCATTGGTCAGCGGCCTCCAGCACAGCCCCTGCTGGGGATTCAGGCCGAAATCCAGGCATATGCCCGGACTGGGAATCGAACAGTAACCTCCTGGTTCATACTCCATCACTGAGGCTCAAGAGTCGGACAGAAGTGAGCTTCTGGTCTTCCTGTTTACCTTTCCAGTTCTGTGCTCCTCTCCCCATTCCTCGTTACATGTTGGTTGGTTTCTCCACACTTCCAGTTTCTTCAGGCCAATAACATCAGGGTAAACCTTGACACTTTTTGGGGGACACATGCCAAATTTAACCAGAAATCCTGTTGATTTAACCTTCAAACCATATCTGGAATTGGATATTTCCTTATGTCCTCTTTAGCCACTCTGGTCTCTCTCCTGAATTGTTAGGATGGGCATTTAGGATGACCCTACTTTTCTATTCGCTGCCCCACTTTACTCTAGTTTTAACCTCGTAACCAGAATATTAGGTTTGAGTGACATCATATCCCTTTTCTATACTGAAATCTCCAGTAAACTTCTTCTCATTCACAATAAAGACCAAAGTCTTTACAGCAATCTACAAAACCTGATATGCTTGGATTCCCTCTTACCTCTCCAATTTGATCTCCAACTGTTTGCATTGCATACTTGCTCCAACCACAATGGCCTCCTTGCTAGCATTAGGTATTCAAGGGAAATTCCAGCTTCCTGCCTTTGCCATTTCTTCTGCCTGGAATGCTATTTCTCCAAATAAAAGCACTGCAGATTCTCATTTCCTTCAGGACTTCACAGAAATGCCTTACTCTTAGTGAATCTTTGTGATGTATTTAAATGTAATTCTTTTACAGCGCTATCTGTCCTCATTGCCATGGCCACATTTCCAAGACCTAAGATGCTTCCAAGTGGTGCTCAGTAAAACTAGTGGAGTAGGACAATTAAATTGATCAAGGAAGATTTGAAGGAAGTAATGCCATTTCATGTATGCCAAAAAGGAGGATGAGGGCTTCAAAATAGATGGGGAACAAAGAAAGAACACGTTGCCCTTTCTGGGTGGCTCAGTTGGCTGGAGCATCTTCCTGTTCACCAAACGGTTTTGGGTTTGATTCCCGGTCCGGGCGCATACCTAGGTGGCCGGTTTTGATCTCTGGTCAGGGCATGATAGATGTTTCATCTCGATCTCTCTTCCCCTACCTTCTCTCTCTAATCCTTGGATGAGAATTAAAAAAAAAAAAAAGAACATGTTTTTGAAAAAAAATAGAGATGGGGCATTTTTTTGTTGATTTTTGGTGTGGGTAAGTATGTAGAAATATATTTGGTGTCATATATATAGTTTGAACTCTAATGAAGTTATATTAAAAATAACTGAGCCCTAACTGGTTTGGCTCAGTGGATACAGCGTTAGCCTGGGGACTAAGGGGTCCCGGGTTCCATTCTGGTCAGGGGCATGTGCCTGGGTTGTCGGCTCCATCCCCAATAGGGGGCGTGCAGGAGGCAGCAGATCAACTATACTCTCAAGGCATTGATGTTTCTATCTCTCTTCCTCTCCATCTTCCTAACTCTCTGAAATCAATAAAAAATATTTTTTAAAAAAGAGATAAAACAATTAGCTAAGGTAATGGACTGATCTCTGACATAAAATCCCATTCCTAAGAGTAGCAAAGATAAAGGAGAGGAAGAATACAGTGCCAAGGAAACTTATACACTGAAATCGAGCACGGTCCAAGGCCTCACCTAAATGCGACAGGGATGAAGCCTTACTGCCGTGCATCGTCGAGTCATTCTTCCGCTTGATTCGAGGAATGAGTTTCTTCTCCACAGCCTTTATCTTACGCGTGAAGACTTCTGTCATCATCGCTGCTCTTTTCTTCCCACAACGAGGAATTGGCTGAGTAAAACATGTTCTTTTTTTGCGACACGGTGTGAGGACATCAATGGCCCCAGACCTGATCTTAGCTTCCATTCCTTCCCTTGAGCCAAACTCATCTGTGTCTGATAATTTATAAAGGGGTAGAACATGCAGCTGCTCATCTTGAGGAACGATGCCAAATGAGCGGTTATCTTCTCGTGTTAAGGTACAAACCTGATAGGAAGGAAAAATGGAAAATGTAGGTCCCGCACATTCATCATAGTTATTCCTACCATCTCGTTGCCATAATGCAAGGGATCTGTATTCAAATGTTATGTTCAATTGGTTACTACTGGTATTTTAATTTTGGATAAATGGCTTATATGTTAAGTGACCCAACATCATTAAGTTCTATGAACTTATCAATTGTTGGTAAGCAGACCATTATAATTTTCACTTGACTTTATAAGTAAATGATATTGCATGTTTATATATTTTACAACATTTTAAATATGAAGCCTTTTAGCTGTTACATGACATCTTAATTGCCTGAATTAAAGAGCAGTTAGTGAACTGTTGTTCACTGCCTTCATGTTAAACATTAACTATTAAGAAATTACTATTTTATAGCCAATACATAATTCTAATTCTAATATTTAAGTAATGTTAAAATCCTTCAGGTAGAGGAAGCTTAATTATAATAAATTTTCTAATTTGCTGTGTTTTCTTTAGGACTTTTTCGTTTCTGTTTCTTAGGTGGAATTTATCTTTTCTGCCTTCACTGAATAAATTGACAGATATTCATAAAACAAAAGAGATTTCCTTTTCTAGCAAGACATATATTTTACTTGTTTTTTAAAAAAATAACTGAAGTACTGTATCTTGATAAATTGTCTCTTTCTGCTCCAATTTGTTTCTATCATAATTTGCCTGACTTGTGTTGTTGTTTTTATAACCATGACTCGAGGATTTTCTTTCACATTGATTTCTAGAGCGTGGAAGGGACAGAGGAAGGGGAGTGGGAGGAGAGACAAAAGAGAAACACTGAAGTGAGAGAAACACTCATCCATCGGCTACCAGGGATGCGAAACTTGCAACTGAGGTACCTGCCCTTGACTGGGAACAGAACCCATGATCCTGCTGTGTGCAGACCAGGGCTCTAACCACTGAGAAAAATGGCCAGAGCTGTCTCTGCTTGAATGATAAATAGGACATTGTAAGAAAATTCTGTCTGGAATATAACCTATCTCTCAGGCCTTCTCCTTACATTGTTTTTATAAATCGTAGAGAAGTAAAAATACAGAACTATATACAGAAAATTCCTAACTTTTGATGCTTAATTCTTCTTCATAAACTACTTTAATTTTCAAATGTCATTAAAGATCCATTAAAAGCATATAAAAAAAACACACACACACACACACACACAAATAAAAATAAAAACACACACACAAAAACAAACAAACAAACACACACACACACACACACACACACAAAAAGCATATACAATTGTTTCCAACATTTGATTTCCAAGGTTGATAGAAACAGATGATAAAGTCAGGTAGACTAAAAGTTTTTTAAATCTTACTATTTTCTCAATATCACTAGTCAAATTTACTCGCAAACCTTGAAATACTGAACTCTCTTGATTTCAATATTTTAAAATTTAGTAACTTAGAAACATTCTGTTAAAAAATCAAATATTTTACTAGTAAATGTTTATGTCAATCTATTGATTTGTCCGTAGAGAGACTAAGAAGGGGACAAGGACTAAACATGAGAAATATAATAAGAAACAGACAGGGTAGAAGAAAATTTGACAGAATTTCAAGGGTTCAGGTATTTTAAGATGAGGAAATTTGTAATTATGCCAAGAACTAGGCACGAGCCTCATGGAATGAATAACAACAGCAGTGCAAAAGAATGAGCACGAACAGTGGATAAAGCGTCAGCCTGTGGACAGAAGGGTCCCAGGTTCCAATCCAGTCAAGGGCACATACCTGGGTTGTGGGCTCAATCCCCAGTGGGGTGTATGCAGGAGGCAGCCAATCAATGATTCTCTCTCATCATTGATGTTTCTATCTCTCCTTCTCCTTACTCTCAAATATCAATAAAAATATATAATTTAAAAAAATACTTAAAAAAAAAAAAAGCATTTAGTTTAACCATGAACCTAACCCTGCTTGATGGAATGCGGCAAACTCAGGTAAAAAGTACTAGCCAAATGATGACGATGAACCACTCTGGCTAAGAGTCACCTGGAGAGATTTTTTTAAAAATATTGTTTTATTGATTTTAGAGATAGAGACAAGGAAAGGTAATAGTGAATCATTGAATGGCTGTCTCCTGCATTATCCCTACTGGGGATCGAGCCAGTAACCCAGGCATGTGCCCTGACTGAGGATGGAATGTGTGACCTCTTGGTTCATGGGTTGACACTCAACTGATGAGCAACACTGACTAGGCACCTGGTTAGATTTATAAAATCCCAACATTTGGAAAAAACACTGAATAATCAGTGCAGAGGAGTGATATGGCTCCTAGTCTATTGACCAGTGATGAATAAGATTGTGCCTGTTAAATTACACTGTTAAGACCCTGTAGCTGTATCTTACACTGGGCCAAGGAAACAAATTGGTATATTAAAACAAAACAAACAAACAAACAAAAAAAGAGACCCATTCATTATCTACTAATCTCTCTGTTTTACAAGGTGAGAAGAAAATACTTCCTTGAAGCAAACTCATTTCCCTTACAAAAGGAGTATTGCAAGATTTCCTCCTGGGTTTTCTCTCGCTAAAAAGAAGGAGGAGGAGGAGAAGAAGAAGATTGGTTTATTGATTTCTGAGAGAGGAAGGGAGAGGGGAAGAAAGACATCTAGTGAGAGCACAACATCGATAAACTGCCTCCTGCCCAGGGATTAATCACGCAACCTAGGCATGTGCATCGAGATGGAGTAGAAGCAGCAACCTCCTGGTGCACCGGATGTGACCCAACCAACCAAGCCACACAACCCAAGCCAGTATCTCTTGATTTTTGAATATTCATGCAACTTTATACACACTGGCATTAACAATCTAGATGCATTAAAAAGATGAGAAATTTGGCACAGTTCCCTCAAAACACACACACACACACACACACACACACACACACACACACACACACTGAAGCACAGATGGCAAAAAAAAAAAAAAAAAAAAAAAGAAGCAAACATTAAGGCCATGGCTAGTGTTACTCAGCTGAGCGTCATTCCACGCATTTTGAGGTGGCCAGTTTGATCAAGGCACATGCCCAGTAGGGATTGTGCAGAAGCCAGCCAATCGCTATTTCTCTGTTTATTCTCCCTTCCACTCTCTAAAATCAATAACATATTTTTCAAATGTGCATTCTTACAAAAAAAAAAAAAAATTGAGTTGCCTAACTTTCTAACTACTAGATTGATAGCACAGAATCGTTGGTTTGAATATTAGAAAACTCCTACCTCCTAGCAAGCACACCTCCATTAAATATATAATTCAAGAGTTTCGCCAAAATATATGTTCAAGGCTAATTCTGCAGCTCTTTTGGAGGTCCAGTACTTCAATAAGAACTTAAATTAAAACTATTGATTACTATATTGTGCAACAGAACATACAAAATGATGTCACAAGTCGTATATAAGGCCTTAGCCTAAGCGTATAGCAATGGAGGTTTTAGAATCAAAAGCGAGCAAGGTCCATACCACAGTGCTCCCATTATTCATGTTGTGAATGTCCCTGTGGGCATGGGTACAGAAGTCTACGCAAGCAGTGACCCCAGAAAAAGGACGACCTTCTTTGTTGCCAAGCCGACATTCTCGGGCAATATGTTCAAATTGTACCTAAAAAAAACAAAAGAAGTATGACACAGTATAACAGACAGAAAGAATCAATTTCAGTAAAGAGTAAAAATCACTTCTTGACAAAGTTCATAAATTAATTACAGTTTGTAATTTCAGAGCTGTCCTAAGCGACAGTACTGCTGTACTGAATGTGTCGTCTAGTGCCTTTCAGGAAAAAGAGGTTGAGGATACGTGGATAAAATGGTAATTGCTATGACTGAAGGCAGGGTGACTACACTAATGCCCACTTATTGTTTATTTAAGTAGCCAAGGCATGCTACGTAGAAAGAAAAATAGAGTGCCTTAATCATGTATGCAATTTTCAATGTGTATAAAATTAAATATACATACATTCATGAAAAAGTATAGGAAGTACATTAATAAAAGTAAACAAAAAGCTGAAATTGAAGAGAGAGAGCATGTTATGCATAATACAAATGAAATAAAGATTTAAAAAATATGGACTGATGCATCTTTAAAATAATAAAATATTTACACTTATTTTCTGTTCTGGTACAAGATTTATAAATATTTTCTTCCATTCTGTGGTTGTCTTTGTTTAAACTCACCCCCTGCTCCGCCGTTTTAACTGACATATTTCTGACATGTAACCTGTAAGTTTAAGGTGCACAATGCGATGATGAGATACATGCGGGTATGCAAAATGACCGCCACCATAAGTTTAGTTAACATTCCAATACCTTCACATAATTAAAATGATTTTGTGTTTGGAGTGGTAACACTGAAGATCTCTTAACAATTTTAAGTATGTAATATACTATTGGTTAATTCACATGTGCATGAGTTCCCCTGATTTTATGTATCATTTAGCTGAGCTTGTACCCCTTCTGCAACATCTCACCATCTCCCCTCACCCTGTTTTCTTGTTGATGTCCTTTGAAGCACAACATTTAAAAATTCTGATGGTCTGCTTTCTCTTAATTATATTTTTCAATTGTCTATTGCTAGTGCATACAAATGCAATGAATTTGCATATTGATCTTGTATGCAGAAACCTTGCTGCAGTCACTTATTAGTTCTTTTGTTTAAATTTTGTTTATTTTTAATTAACTAATTAATTAAATTGATTGGGGTGACATTGGTCAACATAAACATGAACATAAGGGTTTCAGGTGTGGGTTTGTTATGTTAACACTTATATCTAATTCTGTGTGTGTGTGTGTGCTTCACTATTTTCTGGATACCGTATCATATCACTGGTAATTAGACATTGTTTTATCCCTTTGTTTTTAGTTTGGATTTCTTTTACTTGCTTAGAACCTCCAACATGTTTCACTCCACTCAAGTGGTGACATTTGACATTTTTATCTTGTCCCAGATATTAGGCAGAAAGTTTTTTGTCTTTTATCATTAACTAGAGACCCAGTGCACAAAAATTTGTGCGGGGGGTTGGGGGTGGAGGCGGCGCCTCAGCCGGGCCTATGCCCTCTTGCAGTCTGGGACCCCTCGGAGGATGTCCACCTGCTGGCTTAGGCCCACTTCCTGGGTGATTGGGCCCAAGCTGGCAGACAGACATCCCTCAGGCAGCCCGGCAGCCCTCGGGGGATGTCCACTTACCAGCAGGGAGCAGACCCAAGCTGCAGTCGGACATCCTTAGTGTTGCTGAGGAGGCGGGAGAGGCTCCCACCATCACCGCTGTGCTGGCAGCCATCAGACTGGCTTGTGGCTGAGCAGAGCTCCCCATGTGGCAGCGCGCACTTACCACTAGGGGGCAGCTCCTGCATCGAGCATCTGCCCCCTGGTGGTCAGTGTGTGTCATAGTGACCAGTCATTCCCAGTCTTTCTGCTGTTACAGTCAGTTTGCATATTACCCTTTTACTATATAGGATAGAGGCCTGGTGCACGGGTGGGTCATTTTGCATATTACCCTTTTATTATATAGGATTCTGTTAGCTCTGAGTTTTTCATAGATGTCATTTACCAGGTTGAGGCAATTCCCTTCTACTGTTAGTTTGTTGAATGTTTTTATTATATAAGACTTGGATTACTCACTGACTTTACTTCGCATGATTTTCTTTGTTCTATTAATATGGTATAGCACATTGATTAATTTTCATGTGTTGAACCAATCACACATTCCTGCTTTCTAAGTTTCATATGGAGAACAAATCATAATTCTATGATATTTTAATTGAATTGCCATAATAATACTTTTTTAAAATCCTAGATAATGTTAAAGCTATCCAATAAAAAAGATCAAATTGGAAAGGTTTTCTATTAACAGTAATTTTATTTATATAGAAATTTCAACCATGTTTAAATGTACTATATAAGGTCCCCAACTTACCTGGTTCTGGTAAGCAACCGGAGCATACTGTCTATAAATTGGAGCTAATTGTGTGGCCAAACTCTGTAAATTATCTTCAAGGTTTTTTTCCTATAGGAAAATACAGTCCATAAAGGTTATTTCACAATATCATGTCAGGTGAGTTTAAGATTATGAAAATGATATGGAGGGTGATGCATATCATACAATTCATACTTACACTGACGAAAGAGCTACAATAGAAAATAATATGGATTATTTATTAAGAACGTATACAATTAGTGATTGTTATGCTTTCATTCAGTCTTTTCAAACTAAAATTCTATGTTATAAGCTAATTAGAAATCTAAATATTAGAGGTTAGTTACAAATATGCTCATGTCGCTAAAAATGAGACCCATATGCTATATTATTTAATGATACTAGCTACTTTAATACCAGTAATGTCGACCTAAGAACTTTAATTCTTGAGTGTGTCTAACAAGTCTCAATCTTGGCAACTGTAACAAATCAGGGACAACCCTTTTGATTTCCTAACAAATTGTGTTGATGCTTCCATTGGAAAATAAATAAATAAGGCCTATATCTAGAGTACTCTGTTCCATTCGTCTATCTCTTAATTATCTGTTACTTAATGTAGCTTACTAGATAGAATCAGGAAAGTAAGGATCCTACTTGAAAACACTTCCTGTCTATATACACGCATTAATTATTTTCTTTACTTGGGGAAAACGTTAGAATTATTTAAACTAGAGGCCCGGTGCATGACATTTGTGCACTGTAGTGAAGGGGAGAGCCCCTCAGCCTGGCCTGCACCCTCTCGCTGTCCAGGACCCCTTGGCGGACATCCACCGAAGGGGGGTCCTCAGCGCTGCTGCAGAGGCGGGAGCTCCTGCCACTACCACTGCGCTCACCAGCCACCAGCCATAAGCCCAGCCTCTGGCTGAGTAGAGCTCCCCCTGTAGGAGTGCACTGACCACCAGGAGGCAACTCCTATGTTGAGCATCTGTCCCCTGGTGGTCAGTGCGCGCCCTAGTGACTGGTTGATTTGCATATTAGCCTTTTTGTTATATAGGATCCCTATTTTAAAAGATTTTTATTGTTTTCTAACACTTAAAATATTGGGTAGGGTGTTTTATTGCCAGTAAAATATTATTAATAATATACTGTCACAAGTCAAACGTGTCATTTCACTTATTGAGTGGAAATGGTTTTGGGGAGGAGGAAACAAGTCAAATAAACCCTGACTTTCTAATCGCTTTATTGGAATAAATGTGTTTCAGATATAAAGATTTCTCTTAAATGAGATCTTTACCTGCTGGGGCTCAAGCCACCATCCCTCTGTTCTTCTCACCCTATATCGGGTCTCAAGAACCATCCTATCCACAGCCCTAACATGCTACCACCAGAACCGGAGATTACCCAGTCCTCTACCAACCTGGCACCAGGTTAGCATACCCTTTGGTCAAAAAATAGATCCACCGTCTAATTTTATTTTTATTGATTTCAGAGAGGAAGGGAGAGGGAGAGACAGAGTCAAGAGATAAATCATGAGAAGATTCATTGATTGGTTGCCTCCTGCACGCCCCCCACTGGGGATAGAGCCCGCAGTCTGGGCATGTGCCCCTAACCAGAATCGAATTGGGACCCTTTAATCGGCAGGCCTTTGCTCTATCCACTGAGCCAAACCGGCCAGGGCCACCCTCTCATTTTAAAAATCTCACCAGTCCAACCATTGCTCATCATTCCCTCTGTCACAATCATAATACAAGCTACTTGCTCATTTTGTTGAACCTACTCTTGGTCAACTGCAATGCATTATTCAAAGGGTAGCCATAGAGAATTCTTTAAATTACAAATGTAATAATTATATCACTCTCTTTCTTAAAACCTTTCAATGATCTTCCAAAATCTTGGAAGTGGCTTCCAAGGACACTATATGCACCTCACTCTCCCTTGCCTGCTGAGATTCATACTGGCCTTCACTCAGTTCCTGGAATGAGCACTATGTCATCTTGTATTATAAGGATTATATAAATGTTACTAATTATCAATAATAACCATAAGCAAAAACTGACCTCACATTTATTAATTATAAAACAGTATTATTGTGATAGAATAGAAATTTGAGTCATGTTAATATTATTAATATATTTACATGCTAAGTTTCATCATATAATATTTGGAAAGAAAATTCAATTGGTTAATTTTTTTTTTTTCAATTGGTTAATTTTAAGGGACAACTGATATCACATTATTAAGTGTCAGATCTTCGACACAACAGAGCAACTTTCCATTATCAGGTATTTTATATGCCCTTTACTAATTTTTTAATAGTTTTCTCCCCAAATATCTAACACACTTTTTGTTAGACTTCTATGGTACTTTATTTGCAAATAATAGTTCTATCTCTTGAATCTTTTCCTTGTTTCATTGCAATAGATGGGGAATATACAAAATGCTAAATAAATGATCTCTTTCAAGTGATCATTATTCATTCAATTCCAAGCTTGTTTGATTTCAGAGAGGGAAGTGAGAAGGAGAGAGAGATAGAAACATCAATGAAGAGAGAGAATCACTGATTGGCTGCCTTCCGCACTCCCAAAGCTGGTGATTGAGCCCGTTACCAGGGCATGTGCCCTGACTGAGAATCAAACTGTGACCTGTTGCTCAAATACTAAGCCTTTTTGAAAGATGTTGTAGTCATTGTATTACAGATATAAGAGGATTAATTCCTGCTATTTTCTTTTCCATTTATCCGTATCGTAATGATTTTGTGTAAATTCCCTTTGCTACTTTATGGATGGTTTGCTGTTTAATACACCCACCCCAAATAATTCAAAGCTATAAATTCTATTTTTATTCATCTAAAAAAAAAAAAAATGTTAAACATGCAAATACGTTTTACTGACATCTAGAGCAGTGTTTTCCAAGCTGTGGGTATAACTAATTAGTGGGCCATTAAATCAGTATAGTAGGTCACAACTAGCATTTAAAAAATAAATGAAATTCTTCAAAAATCTTACTGCATCGTACAGATACTTAGAAAGCACTATATTAGATATTAAGTTTTAATTTTTAAAATATTTTCATTGTTACATATAATAAAGTTAAGTTTTTTTTTCTAATAGTTTTGTTTTAATTATTTACTTGTATATATCTGTATAGTGGTTTGTGATATAAAATTTTTTTTACTCTTAGAGCTCAAAGTTTGAAAAACACTGATCTTAGAGTTATTCAGTATCTAAACCATTCCCACTCCAAACAAAGCATAAAACATCACCACACTTAGTTGTTACAGGTGCCCCACCCCTCCCACTGACTATGCACACTTGAGTTGTTAAGAGAATGGAGTTATACTTATAGCTTGTTATTTGTAATGTAAAAATGTAAGTACTCAACTTATTTAAACTTAACAATAAGGTTGAGTAATTTCTTTGCTCACCATGGCCTCGTGTCCCGGACAGATTGCTTCCGGTCTCACATATCTTCTTTCTGGAATACGTCCTTTAGTAATTCTTTCATAGTAGGTCTGTGGGTAGTAAACTTTCTGAGTCTGTGAAACGGCTTCCTACTTTGGCTGGGTATAAAATGCTAGATGTTCTTTTAATAATAGTTATCTCCGGGGTTAGGGGATAAGGAGGAGGGAGCCAGGGACAATTGGAATTTGGCTTGATAGATTTACCTCCTTTATTTATAATTATGATGTATTTCCGTAAGTGTACATATTTTTACTGTTTTGTCACTACTTTTAATACTTAAAATTTTTACTTGTGAAAAACATTTAAAAGAAATATATACGTATATATACATATACATATATATATATATATTCAGTGTATAATTCAAAAGTTAAAAAGGCACTTACATGTAAGGGAGAACTTGGATCAATTCTAAATCTTCTAGGGCTTGGGCTTCTACCAAATTTGCAGCCATTAAAGTACATACTCCACGAACAGCCAAAAGAGAATGAAGCTCCACAAGTCTCAGGATCAATTCCTTGACATGTACAGGTACGACTGTAAGATGGTAATTGCAAGGCAATGAACTGATAAAGCAGGACAATACTTCAGAGAGGTTCATATAACGTTAAAAGTACACATGGCTAATAAACTGATTTTAATATATATTTTATTATTATGTCTAACTACTGTTAATAACACAATGTGAACTATATATGTGAATATAATTAAACTAACTAGAGGCCCAGTGCACGACATTCATGCACTGAAGGGGCGGGGGACTAAGAGGGTGTTCCCTCAGCCCAGCCTGCGCCCTTTTGCAGGCTGGGACCCCTCGGGGAAGCGGAATTAAGCCAGCAGTTGGACATTCCCCGAGGGGTCCTTAGCACTACCGCAGATGCAGCAGAGGCTTCCGCTTCCTGCCACCGGCTGCTGCGCTCATCAGCCATTAGCCCGACTTCTGGAAGAGCAGCACTCCCCCTGTGGGAGTGCACTGACTGCCAGGGGGCGAGCTCCTGTGTTGACCTTCTGCCCCCAGTGGTCAGTACGCATCATAGCGACCGGTTGTTCCGCTGTTCAATTGATTTTCAAATTAGACTTTTATTATACAGGATTTTTAAATATCGAATAAAATTTTAAATAAAATGCTCAAGACTGCAAATCTAAATAATCTCTAATAAACCATACAGATCTAAAACACTCATAACCTGTTGGATTTGAAGATGGTCTGAGAATGGAATATAAAGGGCCTGGATTTACATCCCAGATCTGATCCCTATCAGAAATGAAAACTATAGCATTTCATGACCACTTTGGACATTACTTCCTCCATCTATAAAACACATTGATATAATTCTTTGAGGCCTGAAAACAATCATATATATTGTACGTGAAGTCACTTAGAGGTTCCAAAGAATACCTTAAACAGTCAACATCTCTGAAATGGAATAAATGGACTCATAAATCCTAATTTTATGGACTGAGTATAGTATGCCAGTAATTCCTGAACTGAATTGAATCAGGCAAAAACAATCAGACAAGCCAAAACTGAGCAACACTGTACAAAATTAACCCATTCCTTTAAAAAATGTCAATGTCCTGTAACATAAAGAAGTGAGATTAAAGGATTAAGAGAGCAAAAGATAAAAAACAACTTAATCCACCCAATCTGGGTTGGGGAAAAATTATGATAAAGATTATTATTGGGAAACAGATATTTGAATAAGGACTGTAGACTAGACCATTTTAACTAATTGTTTCTGATTTTGATTATTGTACTGGGTTTATGCAAAAGAATGCTTTAGGATTCTATATATATATATGAGTCTAAGTTGACTCGCACATGAGTGATACATATAAAGCCTTTGCTGGTGCCAATCGCACGTGTGTGTTTCGATCTGTCATTGTTGATTGAGAATTTGGTTGATACTTCTATTACAGAGAAAGGGTGAATAGCGATATTAAAATATTAATTAATTTCCTTTCAATTTACACAAATCCATGCACCAAGACACTAGTAACTTATAAAGTATTATTTAGGGGAAGAAGTCTTAAGTGTGAAAGTATTTCACAAATAATACAGAAGAAAATACTTAAAAATCAGTAATAAAAATATGTATATACATAAATATGTGTGTCTATGTGCCTAAGAGTATAAATGCAAATATAACAAACCAGTAACAATGATGTAATCTAGGTAAGCATTCATTTAAGCATTCTTACATATTTTCTATAAAAATAATTATTGAAAAAATGCTAGATCTACATTGGGTGAAATATAACTATTGGATTCTTGAAAAGATTGAATAAGACAATGACAATATATGTGTATCATTTAAAGCCAGTGTCTCCAAATAAAAAATTATTGTGTACCCATATAAAATAATTAGCAGACATTAAAACTTATGTACAGCCCTAGCTGGTTTGACTCAGTGGATAGAGCATTGGTCTGCACCAAAGGGTCCTGGGTTCAATTACAGTCAAGGGCATGTACCTTGGTTGTAGGGTCCTCTCTAGCCTACACCCTGATTAGGGCACAAGCTGGAGGCAACCAGTAGATGTGTTTCTCTCACATCACTGTTTCTCTCTGTCTTTCCCTCTCTCTAAAAAAAAAAACAAATCCAATGGTAAAATACCCTCAGGTGAGGATTAACAACAAAAAAGATGTACACAAACTTGTGGCCATTAAAAAGAAAAATATAATGAAATGGAAATATAAGCATAAATGAATGCTCTGGGAAGTATACTAATTAATCTTGCGTGGGAATTAGAAGGAATGATATTTTTACTATATTTTGTATAATGACATTTCTTCTTCAAAAGAGACCTATTTGAAGAAAACTACATAAAACTCTCCTGAAGGATACACAAGGAAACTTGAAAAAAACAAGACCATCTATGGGGTAGCAAGATTCATTATCATAAAGATGTCCATTTATTATAATTTAATGCAGTCTCATTAAAAATATAATTAGATTTACCTTAATACTACAAAGTTGATTATGAAGTTTGTTTAAAAGCACAAAGGGAAAAAAAAAGAATAACAAGTCTTGAAAAACAGTAAGAGTGGCAAGCTAACCCTACCAAATATTAAAATATACTATAGGCCAGCCAGTGGGGCTCAATGGTGGAGCATTGACCTATGAACCAGGAGGTCACTTGATCCCTTGTGTGTGCTGTGTAGGAGGGAGCCGATCAATGATTCTCTCTCATCATTTATGATTTCAAAAAATTCTAAAAGAAAACATGGGTGAATTACTCTATAGCTTGAGAGATAGAAAAATATCCTTACATACCATTCAAAATTGAGACACAAATAAGGTTGAAGATTAAAAAAACAGATACTCTCTCGCATTGCTGGAGGAAATGCAAAGTGGTACAGTTCCCTGTGGAGGAAGCTTTTCCTTTATGGAAAAACCAGTCTGCTCCAGATACTTGAGGTGAGTGGGATGAGATATCCAAGAAAGAATCAGTAAAAGAATATTCGAAGGCAGGATATCCTAAAATGGTCTTAACTCCCTATGAAATTATGTCTTTCTCTAAAGAAATGGTCACTATTTTTAGTTACACAATAGCTAAAATCTTGTTGTCCCATATATATAGTTGGTAATTCATTAACAATTTAACATTATATAATAGAAACCTGAATGTCAAGACAGTACAAAATAGATATGATTACTTTTCATTGAGCGTGCATCTTCGGTCTGTGGGATGCCCATTGTACGTCCTCAGGTTTTGGGTAAGCTCCGTATACAATCTGTCTGCCATGGGAAGGGGAATGCCATCCCATACCAGGATCAGCACCACTGTCACTGCTGTAGGACAGTGGTGGCCTGTACGCTGCCGAACCAAGCAAAGAACCTTCTCTTCTTCGCTGCTTCTTCTTAAAACCTGCAAAAACAGAATGTATTCACTGATGGAACTCAAGAAACAAAAAGTTAAACACAACGACTATTGCTTTTAAAGCTCTGTAGTGCATTTTATCTTTCAAAATTACTGTTTCACAAGGAGTTGTCGCCTATAGGACCTTCAGTTGTCCTCCTAGCTTTCTCCAAATAACTCACAGAAAAGAAGTCTGAGGCATGTGGTTATCATTTGTAAAAGTAGACCCAAGCACTCTGTTTTTGTCACTGTTGATACAGGTATGCAAAAGAGGTACCAGAGGATGCTGTGGGGAAGAGCCTAACTAACTTCTCTTACACAAATGTCACAACAGGACAAATCTAGCTAGAGAAAAATAATCACGGATTGCTAACATTAACAATAAACTTGAGTCATCAAATTTAGCATCTGAAGAAAGTTATGGATCTTTTCCTTGAGCGGATGGTTGACTAAATAGAATAATGAACATAGAAAGCGACGATCCTGTGATTTTTCTCCACATTGTCATCAGGGTTTATCACACCTATTTTATCCTAAGATTAGAGTGTCCAGCTGCCATGGTGAATGTAAAACACAACAATCATTTTGAGTATTTATCCATTTAACTTACATTATATTATACCCATAGGGTATTAAGATGTTATTTACACAATCACATTTTTCTGTCTCCAGATGGTTAACAATCATTGCTACCAAGGCATCCTTTGAGGAGAGCTGGCTTTAGAATCTTCCCCCTAAACCAGCCGTGGACAAACTACGGCCTGCGGGCTGGATCTGGCCCGTTTGAAATGAATAAAACTAAAAAAAAAAAAAAAAAAAAAAAAAAAAAAAAAAAAGACCGTACCCTTTTATGTAATGATGTTTACTTTGAATTTATATTAGTTCACAAAAACACTCCATCCATGCTTTTGTTCCGGCCCTCCGGTCCACTTTAAGAACCCATTGTGGCCCTCGAGTCAAAAAGTTTGCCCACCCCTGCCCTAAACCCTATTATTTATATTAAAATGTTTTTTATGTTTATATGTCCTGTATAAACAAATAAGAATATATTTGTTTCAAAAAGTACAAAATTATATATACGGTGTCAAACAAAATGCTACCTGATAACTTTCAAGTTGTCAAGACTACAACAAAGTTCTACTGATCCGTTCTTCATATGGAAAATGCTAAAATGTTGTTTATTCATGGCATTTGGCTTTATCAGATTTTTTTTTACAAATTTCCTTCAATAAGCAACAGAAAATAAAGCATGAGTCTCAAAATTCAGATGTGGGTTCAATAAATCGCTTAAGTCTTACTATGACATGGATAGTCGGGTCTATCCAAAATTCACAGATTAAACCCTAAATACCAATGTGATTGTACTAGGAGGAGGGGCCTTTGGAAGGCGATTAGGTCATAGACAGAAAGCCTGCATGAATGGGATTGGTGTATAGAGAGACCCCATGGAGCTCTGAGCTCCTTCAATCATGTGAAGACACAAAGAGAAGAGAGTCCTCAACCGACCATGCAGGCTCCCTAATCTCAGACTTCCAAAGCCCATCACTAGGATAAATAAATTTCTGTTCTGTACAATCTATCCAGCCTCGTGTTTTTTCAGAGCAGTCAAAACTGAGCAAAAGAGCTCTGACAACGGTAAATACATTAAAGATGACGTAAATAAATAGAGATACCATGTTGATGGATGAGTCACTATTAATGTCAATTTTCCCAAATTGATGTTTTGATTTGATGCAATCCCAATCAAAATCCTATCAGCTGGTTTTGGTTTGGGTGAAAATTGACAAACTTGTTTCTATAAAAATGCAAAGGAACAATAAGAGCCAAGAAACGGCAGAGGAATCAAGATCAATTATTGCAAAACTATGGTAATTAAGTTAGTTTCAAATTAGTACAATGACAGATAAAGAGATTAATGGAATAGAATAGTGAGTTCAGGAGATCAGTATAAAAATGATCATCTGACTTAGGACAAATGGGACAATGCAAAAAGTCTTTTCAATGAACAGTACTGTGTAGATATCCATATAGAAGAAAATGAATCTTGACCCTTACTTCACATATGTAACTTGAGTTATATTGTAGATCTAAAAAATGAAAGACAAAGCAAGAAGTTTTTAAAAGAAAATATCTTCATGACCTGGGAGCAGGTAAAACATTAAAAATAAAACACCAGCCGAAACCGGTTTGGCTCAGTGGATAGAGCGTCGGCCTGCGGACTGGGGGGTCCCGGGTTCGATTCCGGTCAAGGGCATGTGCCTGGGTTGCGGGCACATCCCCAGTAGGAGATGTGCAGGAGGCGGCTGATCGATGTTTCTCTCTCATCGATGTTTCTGGCTCTCTATCTCTCTCCCTTCCTCTCTGTAAAAAATCAATAAAATATATTTAAAAAAAAAAAAAATAAAAAAAAAAATAAAACACCAAATTTAATTGTTATAAAGGAAAAAGTTAAGCTAGATTATTTTTAAATTAAAAACATATCTTCATTGAGAACATTAACAGGCAAAAGATAAGGCAAGCAAGCAATACAGTGAGAGAAATATTTATGTTATATATATAATTGATAAAATATTCTTATCCAAAATAAAGAACTTCTGCAAATGAGTAATAGAAACACCATTAAATAGGCAGAACAGAATAGAACATCCAAACAGATGATGAGCTTAAGAAAATATAGTTAAGATTATTAGCAAAGTAAAAGTGTTTTAAAAGCACTACATATGTTGGTGGGTTTATAAAATGGAGCAAACCACTATAGAAATTGTGGAAGTTGCTAAAAGAACAACCCACAAATAGAGTGCTGGGTATATATACAAAAGAATTAATATAGCAGGGTCTTGAACAGATGATTCCATATCCATATTCACAGTGGAAGAAGCCCAAATGTCCATTAACAAATGAATGGATAAACAAAAACAACATTTATATATACACAAAATGGGATATTATTCGTACTTAAAAAGGAAATCATTTCAAATGCAAAAACGTGGATGAAACTTTAGGAAATGATACTCAGAATCAGAGAAATAGGTCAGTTGCAAAAAGACAAATACTATATGATTGATTCCACCTATATGATTTATCTAAAGTAGTCAATGAAATAGAAATGAAAATTGTAATGGTAATTATCAGGAGCTGGGGTAATGGGAAACGAGGAGTTATTCAATAGGTATAGAGTTTCATGTTTGCAAGAAAAAAAGCTCTGGAGATCTTCAAAACAATGTGAATACATGTAAAAGTAATAACTTCACTTTCTGATTACAATCTATTTAAAAATCCATTCTATTGCTATCGCTCTTAATATTTCCACATTCTGATCCATGTTTAAAACCTGCATCTGGGATTTTTCACTTGATCTTTAAAAATCTTACATGATAGCACTAACCGGTTTGGTTCAGTGGATAGAGCGCCGGCCTGCGGACTGAAGGGTCCCAGGTTTGATTCTGGTCAAGGGCATGTACCTTGAAGACAGCTGATCAATGTTTCTCTCTCATCTATGTTTCTTTTTAATTTTATTTTATTAATTTTTTTACAGAGAACAAGGGAGAGGGATAGAGAGCCAGAAACATCGATGAGAGAGATCGATCAGCTGCCTCCTGCACGCCCCCCACTGGGGATATGCCCGCAACCAAGGTACATGCCCTTGACCGGAATCCAACCCGGGACCCCTGAGTCCGCAGGCCGAGACTCTATCCACTGAGCCAAACCGGTTCGGCTCATCTATGTTTCTAACTCTATCCCCCCCGCCCTTCCTCTCTGTAAAAAAAAATCAATAAAATAAATTTTAAAAATAAAATCTTATATAATAAAAGGGTAATGTGCAAATTCACCAAACAGCAAAACGACTGGTCACCATGACACACACTGACCACCAGGGGGCAGACGCTCAAGGCAGGAGTTGCCCCCTGATGGTCAGTGGGCTACCACAGGGGGAGCACAGCTCAGCCAGAAGCCCAGAAGCAGGGCTCATGACTGGTGAGCACAGCTGCAAGTGGTGGGAACCCCGCCTCTGCAGCAGCGCTAAGGATGTCCAACTACCTGCTTAGGGCTGTTCCCCGCTGGACGTCCTAAGCTGTCAGTTGGACATACCCTGAGGGTTCCTCGACTGCTGGGAACAACCTCCCCAACCCCCACCCAGTGTAGGAATCTCGTGCACACAGCCTCAAGTTATTTGAATAAGAGAGTTCTGGGTCGAAATTATTGTGACGTCTAATCTTATCTCCTTCCTATTAATTTCTAAAGATTTAAACAGCAAAAGCAAATATCAGAGGGGCATATATTACTGCAATCAGATTTGGAGAGATAAATGAAGACCCGATGCTCTCAAGTTTGAAAAGTTGCTCATAGTTAAAAAACAGTTTCAGAAGAGCCTAGTTTGAGCACCAATTTGCAAAAGCAGTAAATCTGTAGAAAAGTTTTTTATTCTATACAGAAGAGAACTTGTAAAATTCATCAGTAGCCGAAACCGGTTTGGCACAGTGGATAGAGCATCGGCTTGCGGATTGAAAGGTCCCAGGTTCGATTCCAGTCAAGGGCATGTACCTGGGTTGCAGGCACATCCCCAGTAGGAGATGTGCAGGAGGCAGCTGATCGATGGTCCTCTCTCATCGATGTTTCTAGCTCTCTATCTCTCTCCCTTCCTCTCTGTAAAAAATCAATAAAATATATTTTAAAAAATTCATCAGTGATAATTTCTCTATAGGAAAGGAATCAGGTCCTGAGGTCCAATGAACCCATTAGTGTTGGCATGAGTTTGAGGCTTGCTCCCCAGTGCAGGGCATGTAGGCAGCAGCCAATTAATAATTCTCTTTCATCAATGATGTTTCTTTCTCTCTCTCTCTCTCTCTCTCTCTCCCGCCCTTCCTCAATGAAATTAATAAAATGTATATTTTTTTAATGTGACAGACAACAAATAAATGTAAACAAGTGATCCTGGACAGGATTCTGAATCAGGACAAAAAATGTTTTCTTTTCCCATAAAGGATGTTATTGGATATAAAACCTAAAGA